CATCTCCTTTCACAGCTCTTTGCTGCAACCTGACATTGTGAAGCTGCCTGCAGGCCAGGCAGTGCTGCAGGACAGGCAGACAGTTCCAAACAGCATTCCTGGCAGCACGAACAGACAATTAAATTTAAAGACGAGGCACTGCCGTTCATTTAAATGACTGTGGTGCTTCAGCATATTGCTAGTGCTTGTTGACATATGTAATTTACAGAATTTGGTTTGTGTGTGGTGGGAAGAGGAAATATATCACTGTGGTGATCTGACACCTCATCTGTGTCGGTGGCCTTATTTCATACCCTTTTGCATGCCAAATAGAATGAAGTGCTTTCAGAATCTGTAGATGACCTGGCAGGAGCTGAATGAGTGTCCTTAAAACCATTTGTACCGGTGTACCTTTGTGCTTTCTGTTTTGTGACCTTGGCAGATCAATGATTGGGAAAGTTGCTCACATGCCATCTGCACCTGCTACTTTTGCCGTGCAGCAGGCATTTCCTTCCCAAACATGACTGGCCTCTGATACCAGTGGGAAATTGGCAGCTCCTCTATGAAAGCAGTAGATTCCAGTTTCTTCTTTTGGCTTTTCACTGAGATAGGAAAGGAATTGTTATGGTTATATCCCCAGCGCTCCGTGTCAGAGCTTTCTTTCCTACATAACTGCTTTTTCAATCATGTACAATCTGTATATGGAACCATATCTTGTATTGTATAATACTACAGTACCCTGAGATCTTTTTTTTTCCAATATTGTGGTCTTAATTCTAAACAGAGCTGCACAACCTACAGTGAAAATGTTTCCTTTCTGTCTCATGGCCTTTCTTTCTCGTTTCTATGAGGAGAGTGCAGAATAAAGTTGCAACCTTGACTTCCATGGTTTGGCTAAAGAAACAACATAGCAGGACCTTTCTCCTTGTATCTCTGTAATATTGAAAAGATGAGGTGTAGGAGTGTTCATTACTCTTCTAATTCTTTTCTCCAAAGAGGATGGAAGCTGTTGCAATTCTTCCTTACGAGGTATCCTTAAAATCAACAGGTAAGGAATCACTGTGTTGAGCAGCACACAGGCAATCCCCCCATCTCCAGCCTCAAGGATCACCTCTGCAAAGAGCTGAAAAGGAGCTGTGCAGCTGGCAGGGAGGAGCAGGAGGTGGTGAATTTAGTTTCTACTCTTAACAGCAATGAAACAGCTGCATTGGCTTTACGTGTGGTTCAAAGAGTTGCTCTTTCTGAAAGTTAGGGTACATTGTTTGTGGCATAAATAAATAAAACAAATGTGCAGTCTTTTTCTTCCTGTCAGCAACTGGAGATGGTGATAGGACCACGTGTTTTTGCCCATGATTTCATGTAGCCTTGTTAATGAAACAGGTAATCCTATTTATCTTAAAATCAAGGCAAACATCTCTCATGTTCTGTCCATCTGTTCCAGACACTAACAGCACACTCATCACCATGGTATTGGAACAGTCTGGTACACAAATAACAATCAGCAGCTATTAGCATAATACTATTACTAGATCCATAAAGCTAATATTGGCAGAGATAGGAGGTGTCGCACGTTGTGAGCTAGTTTCTCAGCAGATGTACTGTGTTCTGCCAGAATGTGATAATATTCTGTATAAAAATCAGTAGATGGATGCAATTTTTAATTATTTCATGCAAGCAGCATAAATTGTCCATATAATATAAGTCAATGATCTCTTTTTACAATCAGTAGTTAGCAATCCATTGCTGTCTTGTAGTAAAACAGCATTTTTTAGAAAGCTAAGTGTATAAATAGGAGGAGGAATGGCTGTGAAGGTGGGTAACGATAGGACAAGGGAGAATGGTTTTAAACCGAGAAGGGGAGGTTCAGGTTAGATATTAGCAGGAAGTTTTTCACACAGAGGGTGGTGATGCAATGGAACAGGCTGCTCAAGGAGGCTGTGGATGCCCCATTCCTGGAGGCATTCAAGGCCAGGCTGGATGTGGCTCTGGGCAGCCTGGTCTGCTGGTTGGCAACCCTGCACATAGCAGGGGTTGGAGCTGGATGATCATTGTGGTCCTTTTCAACCCAGGCCATTTTGTGATTCCATGATATGATTCTAAGTCCTGTTTTTTTTTCAACATTCATTACATCAAACAATGAAAGCTCCTTTTTTCCATCCTCCTAACCCTCGGTCACTGATGCAGACTGATACAGGAGCAAATCTTTGCACGCAGGAGGTCACTCATCCCAGATGTCCAGCATGTGAAACAAGGTGTACTCAGTTGGAGTAGTGTAGTGTTGGAGAGGTGGCATGTCACTGCAGCTTGCCAGATAACTGTCGTGCTGTGTCTGCACACACTCCCAATGCTTTCTGAAAGGAGTGAAAGTAGCTTTCTGCTTTGCTGGCCCACAGAAGGAACACAGATCTTTCAGATCAACAATTTCAGACCTCAGACCTCAAACCTTTCAGATTATAAGGGAAGCAGATTGCAGATCCCTCCAAAAGGTCCTGACTGTCCTTACATCCCTTCACAAATCTAATTTACACACATTCAGCAGTCCAAATTCAGGTGTTTCCTTTTCATTTGGTCGCTCTTCCTATAAGATTTGTTTTGGAGCTGAACAGCCACACTTGTTCAATCTCTGGTATACAAATAGGTAGTTAGAAGAAGTGGATTCCTCTCAGGCAGCATATTTTTGCAGATCTGGCTCAATGAATGGCTCATATATATATATACATATATATATATATATACACACATATATAAAGCTTTCCTTTCTTAGTCAGAATATATTCCTGGAAGACCTATTTTGCAAGCTGGTCTACTGAGACTTCTGTAGAGAAGAAAGCATACAGAGCCTTTTCAGATTGCAGCTTCACAGTTGCTGTGTTGAAAGCATGAAGCAAAAGTGAAACCGAGCTATTACAGTTCTTAGTTTTCATAAACAGCTTTTCCTTGCTTTGCTCTTCAGCAAATTCCTGCTGAGCTAACATTTCTGTTAGCATGACAGTGTCCATACATGCTCTGCTGTAATGAGAGTGAGCATCTTTGTCTGAGCTGGTTGTGATTGTGTTGAAAGAAACAGATCGTCATTGTCTCTTCCACTGAACATGAAACTTCCTTGGTCGTGCTGTTGGTTCAGTCTCCAGTCTCCATTTTCATATCAATAGCAGCTTTTTGTTTTCTTTTTATCTCACAGAATTCTGCATGTATAATAAACTAACGAGAAACGTAAATGGCTCACTAATAATAGTGCTGCCAAACAGCTGTGCATGCATGGAGCTCAGCTGAAATGGACAGGGAGACAAGTAGGAACTGTGTTACAAAAACAGAGGATCACTCCTTGCAGTTCAGCTCTGCCTTCCACACAGCTTTTGGCTCAGCTGTGGGAAAGAGTCCAAAGTACTGGGTGACATTCATACATGCTAGATACAGAGGAGGCCACAGGGCAGTATTTTTATCCTGTTATTCACTTTTATCAATCTCAGATATTAAGCAAGAGGTGCAAATTAGCATTAACCTTGACTTAAACATCTAAAAGCTATTTCCCATTAGGCTAAATATGTATATCCCACTGTGTTTCTTGCAGGGTTTGTGTCTCATGGGTGCATGCCATACTGCCCCTTTTGGATACAGTGCAGTGAGTAGGAAAAGAAGTGTGTTTGAACTTGGCATAACTGCAGTAAACATAACATTACAGCTGGAACTTTCTTGGATTGCTCTTTTCTCTCTTGCTGTCATAGGCCAATATCTTGGTTCTCTGCTGTCAATTGCTTAGAAGCAATGTTATTGAGGAGTCACTTCTGCCTCAGTTTTGTGCATTTAATGAGACTAAAAAAACTACAGCTGGACTAAATGCTGTAACCACAGCTCACTTGATGTACCTCTTTTTGCCATGGACATGACTGCCCACCAAAGAAAATGAAGATGCATGACTTTCATTTTTTTTAAAGGTCTTGTTGTTTCCATGAACAGAAAGCAGTAACAAAGGTCTGTGCTTTATTTTCTCCTCTGACTGCAGCATGTGTTGCAATATGACATACTGCCACTGCAGTTCTCCGTTGCTTTCTTAGTTTTAGATAGGCTGCATCCTTCTCAGCAGTCTTTTACGTTTATGATACGAAGCTTAACAGACGTAGCCATGAAATGTTATTATTTTACATCACTTTGCACATGAATGACACCTTGAGACAGGACTTGGGGGAGAACCATGGCCTCGTAGATGTGTAGAAGTGTGTGCCTCCCCACACTGAGTCAGGGATCACTACATCTGGCAAATGCCACATTAGTGCAGGGGCTTGCACTAGAAAAGAGCTGGCGGCACGCTTTCCATTAATGAAGGATGCTGGGGTCTCCAATAATGTTAATTACGTGTTGATGGAGAGAGCAGTAGTCCACTGCTCCTTCCAAACTCTACTCTTAGAACTAACAGCAACTAAAAATCAGCTCAGTGGAAGCTGTTGCCCTATTCCTCATGTGCTGTATCTCTTCCATGTGGATCTCAGCTGGATAGCCAATAGCAAAGCAAGTGTGGCTGTTCTGATTTTCTGCCCAAATGCTATCTCAGATAATAAACCCCAGTGACTTTCCAACCCACTCAGCTTTGTGATGCTCCTTATTTAGTGATGATTTTACCACATCTTCTGAGCCATGAGCAAGTTTTGTATTTGGACACTGAACACTAGCCATGGAATGAATATTAAATGGAACAGTACTGTGCTAGATAGCAGCTGAATCTGAATAAGCTCATGCGTTCAAAATGTGACCTGTTTTCTCCACAGTACAGAAAGAATCTCATTAGTTAATGAACATAGGCAGTGTGTGCAGGAACTGATTGTGTTTAATTGTTTATTACTTCATCTTTAAATAGCTATAAATAATTTTAGTTCCTGATTTTGGACAACGTTCTTTCTATTATTTTTCACCATTGTTACCAGTGGAATGTAAATATTTTCTTTTTTTTTTCTCTTTAATCCTTAGTGGCTAATTTACAGCTCCTGAAATTATATATCTTTCTGTCTACTCTGGTTTGCATTTAGGGAGAAACTGGAGCTGCCTCATCAGTGCCATTTCCGTGTTGTCAGATCTCAGGAGAAGGACAGCATGGATGAATTTGTGCAACAACCCTTCCAGCCATAGAAGATTATATCTTACAAGAAAATCCACTGGTGACCTGTAAGCTTCGCTGGCCATTCCTCACCCACAGTGGTAAGCAGTCTTTTGAGATCAGCAAGAATCTTTTTGGTATACCTGGAAACTAGTCTGATTATCTAAGTTTCTAAAGACATAATTTAGAACCCACTCTCTGTGGACTAAAGAATCTGTTTAGTGCTTGTTTCTTGTCTTGGCTGTTCCATGATAGTGAGCTTTACCACTTGAACTCACTGATTGAAGTTTTAAGCTGAATTTATTTTATTTCTTTTTCCAAAATCTGTTACCAAAATTCAGAGTATTTTGCAGTTCAAAAACTGTTCTTTGCTTCATCAAAGATTTTATTAAACTGGTCTGTCCCATCCTCCTCACAGGACTGTAGTGGTGCGTATCCTTGTATGATACAGATAACAGGAATTACGAGATTGGCTCTGAAATAATAGGGATGATACTTTATCCTCATCTGCCATCTGAAGGAATTGGAGTAAAGGCTGTCAATTACAGATCTAATTGACTAGCCTTACAGATGTGCTGTGTTAGGATGAAGGCATTTGGTTCTTAACAGACACAGAGCCCAAGCTTTCTCACTGCGTTTCTGTTACATGTAAGGATTAATGCTGAATAACAGTGATAACAGATGAATCCCATCTGGTTTTCTGTTATTTGTTAGTTCAATTCAGTGTATAACTACTCACAGTTTAGTCTGCCAGCCAAGGAAGGTATGCAATTATCAACAATACTGATAGGACAAACCTGTTATGTAAGCATACTTTCAGATCTCTCTAAATTCCATAATAAAACTCTTGAGGTGAAATGCACCAGCTTACAGAATGATTCAGCATCAAGGAGAGGTGTGCTTCAGAGCTCTGGGTAGACTAAATGTCCTTGCTGACTGATCCTGTGCCTTCCAGTTGATCTCCTTCCTATTGCCTCTTTCAGGCATGAAATATAGCAGGATACTTATAAGAAGTAGAAACAAGAAAAACACAGAGTTGTAAGGAAGATTTGTGTTCGGAAGACTGTGGGGGCCCAAGCACAGCATGCACTGTATTTGGGGGTGGGGAGGGTCTCGTTAGTGTGACACCTTTGAGCTGTAACTTGTTTCTCCAACTGTGTATCCAATCACTGGCATGGCAGGAGTCCAAAATAATCCTCTTTGGAGAGAGGAAAGTGCCTGTGGAGCTGGGCTGAAGTTGTCCTTTCCTTGTAGAGATATGCATAGTGTGGGAGGTGGTTCCTCCTTCCTCCTTAGCCCCTGTGAAAACTGATAACTCCATGAGACGGTCAACTATGCAACTGCAGATCCACAGAGCATCACAGAAGTCTGAGATGCTCTCTCCCGACACACAACTAAGCAGTACACAGACATGGAAGCAGCTTCACAAACTTGCTAACAGATGCCCCATACCAAGTTAAGTTAGTGATGGGTGAGGTGGGAGAATGATAGCCCAAAAAGCTGATATTGAAGAAAAAGGATGAGGCAGTGGAAGATGAAAGGAAGTACAGACGCTGATTTGATTTGCCATTGTTTGCTAGAAATGTATCCTTTTGCCCACCTCTAGATGCCATACAGATGTATAAGAAAATTGCAGCCTGTCAGTCTAACCAGGTGAAGCTCTCCTCCAGTGCCCTGGCATCAAAACTCAATAAAACAACCTTTGGTATTAAATCCATGTCAGTGTTAAATAACATCTGTGCCAAGCAGGGAGATGCCAGCCATGTTGGATGAGTACATGCCAGAGCATTTAGATGATAACTGGTGTGATGAATTAAACTCTTACACAAATAGATACCTAGGCAAAGAGCACAGCGACCAAATTCCATCGTGCACTACCCTGTTATCTCCACTGGGTTGCAAAATGCTTGAGTCAGAGGCAGGAGATGGCCTTTGGCATTATCTGTGAAGAATATTACGATCCCCACTAAGCAAAACAGTGTGGTTTTACTTCCTGTTGTTCTTGGGCCTTTTTCAAGCGAGCTTTCTAGCAGTACTCTGCCCCAGTGTTTATGTGGCAATCAGCTGAAGTCTGCATTAGCAAGAAAGGGTTTATTTCCAGGAAGGGAACCAGGGCTGAGGCATCAGGTGGCTCAGGGTCCAACCTCCTGTCACACAGCTGTGGTCCTCAGGCTGAGCTGCCATGACAAAAAACAAGATACAGAACCCATCCTTGGATGGCGCAGAGCCACAGACACCAAGCACATCGGTTTGAGCTCTTTCTTCTTTATCTTTTGTGGCACTGAAGATTATGATTGAAAAGATGGCCAGGATGTAACTTATTAATTAAAATGTACTGGGTTCACCAGCAATCTTAACTGAAAGCCTGAGCTGCTTAATTTATCACTGGAATCGTTTTACCACTGAGCTTTTTTAGATTTCTTGTGGGCACTGTAAGGGAGCACTGGAATTGCCACTTCTGGAAGCTTTTAAGAAAACAGTTATTTGGATTGAAATAGATACAATTCAGGCAGAGGATACAACTCAGTTGTCTCTTGGTGTCTCTTCCAACCTTATTTTTCCTACAATTTCAGTAGGTGTATTCAATTCCTGCCCTGAGCTGGCTGTGTTCAGCTGCTTCCAGTAGGTCTGTGCAGCCAAAGCTCCAACGGCTTCCTCCGAGGCAGCTCATGCAATACAAAATGTGGTCTTGTCAGTTTTGCAGAAGGTTGGGAAATCAAGATCTGAACTATGCCAACAATGCAAACTCAAGAACAATATAAATTTCAATTGCCACTATTTCAAATCTGCGTGGCAATTACATCCAAAACTCCCACGTGCTCACCACAGTACTGAAACAAAATGAGGCTTGGATTCTGAAGAAAGGAGCCAGAATAAGATGGTAGAACTCTTTCCAGAAGTTCCCCAACAGAGATAGATGTCTGCTCTCCTGGGAGAATATCCCTCACATCCCACTAAATGCTCTTGACACTTGATTGTACAATCAATGAATATATAGATTAAATAGTACATTGGAGAGCTTGGCTCCTTCCCTCTCAGTGGTACACATGGGCCCATCAGCTACACACTTCTCCTTTGACCTTTATTTCCTAAATTAAGAATTCACAAGGAGGAGAAGAATGTGCAGATACCACTTTCGATGTGCTGCCAGCACACCTGAAATGGACTGGTTGTACTGTTAGAAAAACATCGGCATCTGAACAGCACTGCAAAGAGATCAAATACATGGGAGGATTGTGAGCAGTATAGGAGAGACAGGCTGCTATTGATAAGCCCAAATCAGTGTTTGTTTGTTCCCCAGGACTCCCAGTATCAAAACTGCCATTTGTAGAATCTCAGCTTGCTGTTGTGTGTTCCTGGTACCTGACCTTCTCGGTTTGGTTGTGCATTTGTTAGCCTGTGACCTTCCCACAGCATGTACCAGACACTGAGCAGGGGAGGGAGAAGGAAGAGCAGAGGAGGACAGGTGGAGAAACAGTTTTATTTTTTATTTTCATTTTACACAAGGTCTAGGGAAAAGGACACTGGCAGAGGCCAAATGATATCTGAACACCACTGTGTTAACATGGCAGCTTTGTGGGAAGGCAGTATTTGAGTCAGAGGCCTGATTCTCCCTACCTTTGGTTCAAGACAAAGGTAAAAACTGTTTAAAAACTGGTAGACAGCAGACCTGAAACCAGCCCTTGCCCTATGAGTGTGTGGCATGATGATATAGCTAAAAAACAGAACATTTTTGTATGAAATGAGGGCAGAAGAGGAAGGAGGAGTGAACCTCATGCAGCTCAATGCTCTCTGCAGTCCGTAGGGGTGATACCCTCCCAGTCCCACTGTCAGCACTGCAACAGAGCAGGCACATGAGCTCCATACTGCAGTGCAGCATCTGTGCTCAGAAGTGGATTATGCAGCTGTTGCATTCTTCCACCATCATTTGTGCTGCTTTGCCTCTTTCCTCTCCCCCCTTACATCTGCCTGCAGCCATCACAGATTGTTCTTTCTCTCCTTCCCACTCTCTAAGTTGTGTCCTGTCCCCTTTCCACCCCCATTTCCCAAAGCATCCTCTGGCAGCAGCTGCCATGGGCACCTTTTGTGGCCTAGGGAGGGGAGAGGTGGAAAACGGGGAAGGCAGGTCCCAGCCTGTCACCTAAGTTGGGACAACAGTCAGAACCAGCAGAGTTCAACCTCAAAAACAGGAGTTACTGAGTCAAGTTAGTGAAAACAAGGCACACAGAACCAGGGAGGGCCATTACAGTTCAAGGCAACCTACACACATGCCTTTTCCTAGGCTGCTCTGGTAGCACAGTACAGCTGGAGCCAAAGGAAATTCTGCAGCTGATTTCACTAACAGGATAAAATCAGTCCTATTGGCACAGGCAGAATTCAGCCCTGAAGGTATCTGAATAATATTTCTCCAGCCAGCACATGATACTGCTGCTTGTGTTATCCTCCTTTCAGTAAGAGACCAGGAGGGCCTCTTGGACTATCCAGTGGTTCGTGGCATTCAGGATACACCATGATATCCACTTAATGAAGGAGGAGGAACAGGATATGCTGTGACACAGACAATAAATCATTGCTCCCATCCCAGCTGGAAAGCAGGCAGTGGTCCCAGCCTGTTCATCCAGTCCAACAGGTACGGAACTGTGACAGCAACAGATGACCTCAGCCTGCACCTCCCAACAGACACCATGTAGTTCTGCCCTCCCAGAGCAGATAGGCAGCCTGCAGTGACAGGTTACCTTGCCTGCTGTGCCACTGCTTCGGTTGTACTGATTAAATATGCTTTTCTCAGACATGGAAGCTATTATTTCTCTGCGATGAAGCAGCATCCCACATTCTTATCAGCCTGTGCCCCACTTCAGAAGCAAATCTAATCTGCAGCTTTCATAGTTTGCTAGAGCCAGAATTGGTTTGTTCCCGTGTATGCTCTGAGTTTGCCGATTCTCTACTGCACCAAGTATGGCAGAGCTCTCTTTTCTGTGGCCTGTCAGCATTACTCCTGAGAAAAACAGAACAAGGCATTGGGGTGGTTGGAGCTGTTTGTTTCAACATTCACACACAAAAAAGGTAGAAGTGTTAAGACGTTAATAAAACAAACATCAACTTGTGGCAGCAGAGAACAGTGTTCTGTCAATGTTCTGTCTGGGATATTCCTGTGCCTTACACAGGTCACCTCACACTGAGCATCTCAAATATGATATGTAAGAGAAATGTGGGTGAAAAGAGAGAGTTTCAAAGGTTTCACTGCATTTCTGGTGGTGTGCATTAAAAAAGGGGAGATGGGGAATATTATTTCACACATACACCATATAGGGAAAGGGAAGCAGAGCCTTCCATGATGGCCACCACGAAAGCAGAATGCACAGCAACGTGACCGATCCACACGGAGGTCGCTGTCTGACAACCGACACAAGCAAGCAAAGGAAACCCAGAGCTTTTAAAACCAACGCTCGACATTTCCCATTTCAGTTGGCACACTTTGTTGACTTCCTTTCTGGAAATTAACGTAACCATGGTACAAACATGGAGCCGAGTGGAGCATGAGCAGCTCATCACAGTCTTACTGTGGGGAAACGACGATCAGCTCCTGTGGGCACTGAGCTCTGCTGCCACGGGAGCGCTGGCACGGGACGCAGGCAGCAGCATGCAGGCTGTTTGCGGGTTGTTCCTTTGAGCCACCTGGATAATAAACTTTGGTCAACGCGTTACGCGGTGCCCTTTGTATCCAAGGGACGCCAGATAACGTGTCGCCAGGGACTGACATTCCCCAGGCGATTATGTGGAGCCGCTGGGATGCGCAGGGCTGAGCAACACCGAGCGCCCGCCATCCCAGCACGGCGTCTCAGCGACCTGCTCGGTCAGGAGGGCCAGAGCGTCGGCGGGAACACGTGTGCCAGCACCGCGATAGCGCTCCATCGCCAACCGGCCCAATGGGCACCGCGACCGCACCGCCACAACAGCAGCCAGGCCTCGGCAGGCCGCGGCCCCGCCCCGCCAGGCCCCGCCCAGCCGGCTCGCCCGGGCTGCCACGTCTGCCCGCCGACGTCACCCCGGCCGGCTCCTCGGTGGCCAATGCGCAGCGCCGCCCGCCGCGCCGCGCCGACGGGGCCGAGGGAAGAAAGGCCTGCCCGCGCGCATGCGCCGCCGCCGCCGCGGGGGCCGCCGGGAAAGCGAGTCTTCCGACCCCCTGTGCTGCCGCCGTCCGCGCGGGGCGGCGGGCGGGGCGCGGACTCGCTTTCCCGGCGTGCCTCGTGGCCGCCCCCCGGCCATGTAAGCGCCGCTCGGCAAGACGCCGCCCCGTTTCCTGGTTGGGCTCCGGCGGCCATTTTGGGCTGAGGAGCGAGCGCGGAGGCCGCGGAGCGGGCAGGGCGCCGGCGGACGGGCAGGCCGAGCCGAGCGCCGAGAGAAGGCGGGAGCCGTTAGACGCCTGCATCCGCGGAGCGCCCGCCTCGGTGGCGGGAGGTGCCAGGCCGCGACCGCCACCCCTCACAGCGCGCTCGCCGTCCCTCGGGCCGCGGGCCCCACGGACATGTCCAGCATGAACCCCGAATAGTGAGTGCGGGGCGGGGGACGGCGGCGAGAGGATGGGCGGGGGCGAGCGGG